ACATTATGCATTTAAACAACAAAAATGGACTACATATTTTTCATCTGAACACTAACAGCCTGAGACACAAACTGGCTGAACTCAGGCAACTGTTCATGAACGGTAAGGCAAGCATATTATGCTTTTCTGAGACCAAATTGGACAATTCCATTACAGATTCAGAGATTGAAATTGAAGATTATCTTGTAGTGAGAAGGGACAGGAACGTGAATGGAGGTGGTGTCTGCATGTACATACATAAAGACACCAATTTCAAAAACCGTACTGACCTGCATCATGAAAATATTGAATCTGTGTGGGTTGAAATTCTTTTTCACAATGCTAAATCTGTAATAGTCGGGACAATCTATAGACCACCGGAACAGAGTGACTTTTATGATACATTAGATGGGTGTTTGGCTGATGTGGGGGATGTAGAGACAATTATTATTGGAGACTGGAACACGGATATGCAACGTAAAGACACGTCCGTCTTCAAGTCCTTCAGTAGGATTTGTGATCTGCACGGCTTCAGCCAGCTAATCACCCAACCCACCCGGGTATGTGAAACAACACAAACTACCATTGATCTCATTCTGACCTCTGACAGGTCCAGGATCTCCAGTAAAGGGGTTATAGCATGCGGTTTAAGTGATCATTATATGATATTCTGTACCCGCAAAAAGCTAAAACAAAAGGCCGGCTGTCACAAAACAGTCATATCTAGAGACCTCAAAAACTACTCTAGCGAGGCCTTTAACCTAGAACTGGAGAGCCTGGACTGGTCAGATGAGCTCAGTGGTACACAAGTTGAAGAAACATGGCTTGGTTTCAAAAACAAATTCTCTGCAATACTCAATGATTTGGCCCCCCTAAGAACAACCAGGGTAAAAAATCGCGCTGAGCCGTGGATGCACTCCGGCATACTGACCGCCATGAAAACCAGAGACAAAAAATGCTCTGAGTTTCATAAAAGTCAGTCAATGCTTTCCAAAAGCACGAGCAGTGAACTCCAGGCCCACGTGACTGAACTAAAAATTGAAAGAAACAGACTAAGAAATGACGTAAGCTCCATGATCAAAACTGCCAAAAAGAATTTCATCAATGACAAAACTGAGGAAAACAAAAATAAACCCTGTGAACTTTGGAAATTACTCAATAACCAGCTTGGCTGCAGTAAAAAACTCAAAACGAGATTTTCAAACGTAAACATAAAGACAGATAACAGGCTCATCACAGACAAACTGGATGTGGCCAAGTACTTGAACATTTTTTTCACAAACATAGCCACAACTCTTGTAAATAAATTACCCTCCCACTCAGGGCTTTTTGGAGTAGATCACATCATGACCTACTACAAAAACCTAGGGGTACGCAAAGATGATTTCAGTCTAGCAAGGGTAACAACAGCAGAGGTACTCATTAAACTGAGCGCCCTCAAACCTAACAAGGCCACTGGCCACGACAATATCCCCTCCAAATTCCTCAGAGACACAGCAACCGCCATCTCACCAGTCATAGCTCACATAATTAACCTCTCCATAAAACAGGGAAAAGTACCCAAAGACTTCAAAATTGCAAGAGTAACCCCCCTGCACAAAAAGGGCAGCAAATTGGACCCAGGCAACTACCGCCCTGTTTCTATACTTACCTCCATCTCGAAAGTCATGGAAAAAAATAGTATATGAACAGGTCGAAAAGTACCTCGCAGAAAAGAAACTAATCTATGAATTTCAATCTGGCTTTAGAACATCCCACTCCACTGACACATGCCTTCTTTATTTGAACGACCACATCAAACAAGAGGTGGACGAGGGTAAATACTGCGGCATGGTGATGCTGGACCTACAAAAGGCTTTCGACACTGTCAATCACCCCATTCTGATTGACAATCTAAAAGCAATTGGTTTTGATAAACTATCGGTGAGCTGGATGCAATCCTACCTGGAGGGGAGAGAACAGATGGTGGAGGTAAACGGTACTCTGTCCCCCCCCCTCCCAGTGAGCTGTGGTGTTCCACAAGGAAGCATATTAGGTCCGTTACTGTTCCTAATTTATGCAAATGACATGTCATCAGCATGTGACTGCAACTTGTTCCTGTTCGCGGACGACTCAGCCCTGCTGGTCTCTGACAGGAGCAGATTGCAGGTTGAAAAAACCCTCAGCTCCGAGCTCGGCAGAATCTGCACCTGGCTCGCCGATAATAAATTATCATTACACCTGGGTAAAACAGAGTCCATTCTCTTCGGTTCGAAACATAATCTCAGCAAATCCGACGACTTCTCAGTTGCAGTGGGTGACATTATTGTCACAAGTAAGAAGGAAATTACATACCTAGGATCTATTCTTGAGGCAAACCTCTCCTGTGACAAAATGGCATCCAATGTAATAAAAAAGTCAATCAAAGAACTAGATTCCTATACCGGATCTCCTCTCTGGTAAACAAAAACACCCTGAAAACTCTGGCAGGAGCACTCATTCAAGGGTACTATGACTATGCTTGCACGTCATGGTACCATAGCACCTCCAAGGCGCTAAAAATAAAACTTCAAACATCGCAAAATAAACTGGTCAGACTACTGCTTGACCTTTCATCTAGAACCCACCTCACCTCTGCCCACTTTGACAACCTAGGATGGCTTAGAGTAGACGACAGAGTACAGCTACTTGCAATGGGCCTGGTCTACAAGATCCACTACACCTCTATGGTACCCATGTACATGTCAAAATTCTTCCCAAAGGTCAAGGAATACCATGATCATAACACCAGAGGGAGCTCCACAAATCATGTAAAACCCAGATTTGGCACAAAAAAAGGGGAATACACGTTTCGCAATTATGCCACATCAAGGTGGAACGCTCTTCCCACAACTGTAAAGGAAAGTAAAACTATACTTACCTTCAAAACCTCTCTTAAAGAGCACCTTCGGGGGAAAGCATTGCAAAACTGGCCCCGGTAATGGTACAAATCTCAACCTGTCGTACAATGGACAGCTTCCCCCCCCCCATCTATGTATATACTCGCATTTTAGACTCTGTTACTAACTGTATATCTGTAGACTTGGTATGTCTTAAATGTCCGGTTAGGATGTATTAGAACGAAATCTAAAATGAAAATTGTAAATAAGCCATCTGTATGTAAAAAACCACCTGTATGTAAATTGTAAATAAGCCATCTGTATGTCAAATATGTCTTATATGTCTTAAATGATATGATGAATTGGAAATGGGGGACCCTGATGTAAACAAGACGAAAGTCTTTCTCTGGTCTGCATCCCCTTAACAATTGTATGTTTTGAGCTGTACTGTAATGTACCCAATATACAAGCTGTTAATAAACTTTTCAATCAATCAATCAATCAACACCTCCATAGACCAGACCGTCTCAGTTTGTAGACGCTCGGCCCGGGGTCCAGCCTACGGCTGCGGTGCTGTTTCTCTATAAATCCATGCTGAATTGAACCTTCCGTTTCGTTCTTCTCCTTCATCTTCTTTAATGGCGACTTGCAACCAGACGAGCATTATCGCCACCTACTGTATCACTGGAGCATTGCTCTTTGTTAGTTCCGTTTCATTACAATGACTTCCGTTTCATTACAATGACTTCCGTTACAGCAAGAATCCCCCTCTCACACACATAGGTGAAACACATGCACATTCCCTACTAAGAATCTTTCAGTCAAATGTTTTTCAGTGGTGTGTGTGTGAGGTTAATTTTCAGTTGCGTGTGTGTGTGTGTGAGGTGTTCAGTAGTGAAAGTGTAAGTATTTCAGTAGTGTGTGTGCAAGGCCAGATGTGTTCAGTAGTGTGTGTGTGAGGTGTTCAGTAGTGAATGTGAGAGGATTTCAATAGTGTGTGAGAGGTTAATTTTCAGTTGTGTGTGTGTGAGGTTAATTTTCAGTAGTGTGTGTGCAAGGCCAGATGTTTTCAGTAGTGTGTGTGTGTGAGGTGTTCAGTAGTGAATGTGAGAGTATTTCAGTAGTGTGTGTGCAAGGCCAGATGTTTTCAGTAGTGTGTGTGCGAGGTGAGTTTGAATGTTGGCCTACACGGCCCCTCATACACTCAGGTGTGTTCCTCCAACAGGCTGTAGTCACATGATCTTTATGTTTACTGTTGTGAACATGCCTGCGTTACGGTGTGTGTGTGTGTGTGTGTGTGTGTGTGTGTGTGTGTGTGTGTGTGTGTGTGTGTGTGTGTGTGTGGGGGTAAGAAAGAGAAAAAGAGGAGAATGAAAGTGTGTGAGTGAGAGAGTGAGGAACAAGGTTGCATTGTCTGTTAGTGAAAAAGCAAATCCCTGCAGGCTAACGGCTGAGGAATGCTGTTTAGTGTTCCTCACTGTGATTGTACTGCTGTTGATGTGGACACATCGTGTGTGTGTGTGTGTGTGTGTGTGTGTGTGAATTGTGGGGTGTGTGGAATGCAGCAGGTGATGACACACGCAGGTTTAACCACCTCAGCTTTCTGTTTATCTAGCCACGTCTCAGATGCACGACTAAACTACACACACACACACACACACACACACACACACAAATGTTTATCCCCTCATTCACACTGTCTGTGTCGTATTTGTGTGGATATTGAACCAACATGTCTTTATTCCGTTTGGCATCATGTATGAGGAAACAGAACAGGGGGTCGAACCTCTGCAGTGAAGGGCCCCCTCCCTGTGTCTTTCAAACATTAGAACAAGATCAACTCCACATGGATCTTGTGCTTTGGTTTATCTAGTCCTCTAACATGAGAGACAAACGGACAGAGCGATCATGTTATGGGTGTTATTAATATTTTACAGAACATGTGTGTACAGGCTTCTGGGATCATGTGTGATCCTGTGACGCTTCAAACACTCACCTCTTCTTCATAAAGCTGAACCTCAAGAGGTCAGTGTGGTGTGTTTGGAGTATCAGAGGACCAGAGGACACACTGAGGGGACACCTGAACCTGAACAGAGTCATAGCACACACTCCTGATCCGCAGGGAGGTCAGGGTGGAGCTGATGTTTGTTGTTTGTGTGGCAGAGGCCTTCCAGAACACCGTGGAGCAGTTTGGCCGTCTGGACATCGTTATCAACAATGCCGGCATCAACAATGAGAAGAACTGGGAGAAGACCATACAAGTGAACCTGGTAAGAGGAAGAGAAGAATGTACTTTAACACCCTCTGTGTTTGGCCCTCCATTTCTTACTGTGTGTGTGTCAGGCTCTCTGTGACCCTCAGGACCACGACCCCCTCGGGGGGCCTGCCCACCTGCCAAATATGAAAACACAATGAATTACTCAAATGACTGAACACCTTAAATGAAAAAATGTAGGTTTTAATATATTTCAGTCATGCATCATTTATTGTATAAATAGAATAAATGCATGACCAAGGTCTTCACTACCTCTGATAAAGAAAAGAATTGACCTTGTTGTTATGATCATAAAATGCTGTTGTGATGATTCTCACAATGTGATGAATACAACTGCAAGTGTTTAACCCTGTCAAAGAGAGCAGATAACGTATTTAAAGTCAAGTTACTTTATATAAAAACTGAGAAACAGTCAGTAAACATGGGGCAAGAAGATATTACAAGAATAAATAAACCCTTAAGGATCCCCCCCAGCAGAGGATGGAAAGATGTGTGTAGTTTGACAGACTGCAGGTAAGTCAGGCTGCAGCATTACATTACATGACATGTCACTTGTTAGACGCTTTTATCCAAAGCGACTTACATACTCAATACTGTGGGCAATCCCCACAGGAGCACTTTGGGGTGAAGTGTCTCAGGGACACAACGACATGCTGACTGCAGTGGGGTTTGAACCTGATCCAAACACCAACACTCAACCCACCAACACTCAACCCACTGCACCACACGCCTCCCACAGCATCACAGACAGCAACCCGATGTTCCTAACATGTGGAACCTCTGGACGGGAGGCCAGACGTCAGTTAAACAGTTAATGCAGGCGGGACTCTGATACAAACCAAACACCATATACAATGTTCCAATGATGAGAACATATCTGGAAAACCCTAAACTTTCTGTCAAGAAGCTGCAGTAGAATATAGTCTGGATACTGCAAGGCGTAACCAATGATACTAAAATATAATTAAAGGAAAGCTTTTGTAAAATATATACAGTACTCCATGACTAAAGGTGAGCAGCAGAGGGTCCTGCTGGGGGAACATGGACACCTTAGGGTGTGGAGAGCTCTCTAGGACCATCAGAATATCAGACACACTGCTCCATTACAGTGTCGCTTCCTTCAGGAGGTCCTCCTTATTTGAAGATTCCTTCAGGATGGAGAATGTGTTCCTAGAAACACTACAGCTAGCAGGAACACAGACGTAAAATGTGACAAATATTATACAGAGCAAGAAGTTTATTAAAAGATGACAAAAAGTCAAAAAATCAAGTATCTAATGTGCTGTACTGTGAGAGGAAGACATTGTACCTTAACAGAGACTCTGAGCGGTGGAAGACTCTACCTTATATCTCATCTGTCTCACGTGTGCTTGCTCACCTGGTAATATAATTACCTTATCGAGTCCTCAGATAAGAGTGTTTTTTATGGACAGTATCCTGATCGGGTTTTTGAAGTATCCCGTGCATGTGTTAGAGCATGTAAACAGGACATCTGAATTTCAGAAACCCAGGCGCTCCTTATCCAGTTCATGAGAAATCCGAAAATGATAGCTACAGTGGGATCTCCAAGTCAGCCCCCCCCCCCCTCTAAACAGGACACTTGAGTGGCCTGAAATAGTTATGCCAACATTTGTAATTAATCACAGTTGAAAAAACATGCAAACATATGCATTAGCTGTATATCCACAATTGGGTTTCCACAACATAAAGCTTACAGAGAGCGGAGCGAACAGATGTCCTCTGAAAACACAAGCAGAAATAGCTTTACTGATCAGTAGGGTCACATGTTTCAATCTTGTTTCCTGCATTGGTCGACACTTGCCTTTAGAATGTTCTCCTCTTGTCTCTACAGACCTCTGTGATTAAAGGGACCTACTTGGCACTGGAACACATGAGTAAAGAGTACGGCAAGGAAGGAGGCATCATCATTAATGTATCCTCTATGGCAGGTAACACACAAACACACACACACTCGCACACACCACTGTTACTTCAGATCTGAAGAGAAAACATGATGATAAAGGCTAAAATACCCAATTCAAGGCTTCAAAACTGTGGTCCTCAAACCAATGTGTCTACGTGGACTATGTCCTTTTCTTATTTGTAAAGTCTATGCTTAGCCTAACATTGTCACTTTCACAACGGCCAGTTTTTTATCTGAATCAATGCCAGCAGCAGAGCTGAGCAGAGGTGTGTTAGGTCATTTCATTTCATTTAATCGTTTATTTGAACCGGGACAGTGCACATTAATGAACATTTTAAACAAAATAATGTTTTTAAATGTAAATGAGCCGGATTTTAGCTTTGAGCTAGTTTCCATCCGTAGTCCCGTCCGTCACATACAACATTTATGAACATAAGATTTATATACATGGCAAACAGAAATACATGACATGCAGAAAGAGCATGAGCAGCATACACGCCACAAGGCAGTACAATGTAGCAGCTACGACATATGAAGTGCAGGAGGAGATAAAAGAGATACATAAAGTGCAGGAGGAGATAAAAGAGATACATAAAGTGCAAGAGGAGATACCCCTGTATTAAAGTGCAGTTAGCGGTGATTACACGTCTGTTTGTTTCTTAACCATTCTTTGAGTTGACCTTTAAAACTATTGAGAGAGGGACAATCCCGTAACTCAGTTGGGAGGCTATCCAGAATGAGCTGACTTTAATGGAGAGGACATTTTGTCCAAAGGTGGTCCGTCTATGGTGGACTTCACAGTCTCCTCTGGTTTCTGACCTAGTGCAGCGTCCAGTGTGTTTTCTGTGGATGAATTCCCCTAAGGGAGGGGGGGGGGCAGTCCATGTAAACATTTATAAATAAAACACATACTTTTAAAATACTTAAAATGGTCAAAACTCAAGAAATGGTGTTTATCAAGGATGGTACAGTGGTGGTATGAATAAGGCTTTCTGTCAAACACCTTGATAGCTCTCTTGTACAGCTGTTCTATCGGTTTCAGGTTTGTGGCACAAGCAAACGACCAGTTTGTCAAACAGTATTCAATATGGGATAGAATCATACAGTGGAGGTATGACTTTGCAGCATTGATAGTTAAGAAAGGTTTAATTTGTTTAACATTTTGCAAGTTGAATTTAATAGTGTTGGATACTTTCTTGATATGTTTCTTAAAAGTCAAGTTCGAGTCCAGTATGACTCCTAGATACTTGAAGTGGGAGACTAGTTCTATTTCTGCTCCGTTTAAAAACACATTGGATACTTCGATTTTGACTGGTCGTTTACTGAACATCATGCACACTGTTTTTTTTACATTTAACTGTAAGCTAATGTTGTTCAGCCAGTGTTGAACCCACGTCCAAAGCATTTGAGAGACATGATGTGATTATTTCAGTATTTTTCCCGTGTACAAAGATGACCGCATCATCGGCATACATTTGCACATTGAACTCAGGACATACATTAGGCAAGTCATTAATGTACAGAGAAAACAGTAATGGTCCAAGAATGGAACCTTGTGGAACCCCAACAGGGTTCACAAGGTAGGGGGATTTGGTACCGTTGACCAAAACACACTGTTTTCAGTTTGATAAGTAAGACCTAACCCACTGTATTGAATCTGCCGAAAAATTGAAATGAGTCAGCTTTGTAAGGAGCACTTGGTGGTCAACAGTGTCAAAAGCCTTCCTAAGATCAAGGAAGACAGCACCTACATATGGGCTCGTGTCCAACATACATTTAACCTTTTCCACAAAGACACAGTTAGCTGTCTCAGTGGAGTGGTGAGCACGAAAACCAAACTGCATTGGGTGGAGTGGAGCGAAACCTTTATCTAAATGTTTGGTGATTAGTTTTGACACCCATTTCTCAGCTACCTTAGAGACACAGGGGAGGATGCTGATTGGTCTGTAGTTGGACATCATTGCCTTATCCCCAGATTTAAAGATCGGTGTCACCGTGGCCACTTTCCAGGATGATGGAACTTCCCTCGTGCTGATAGATTGATTTACTAGCATAGTAATTGGTTTTATTAGACCGTCAATATGTGTTTTTATGAAGTTGGTGTCTAAGTCATCTGCATCCCTAGCCTGTTTACACGAGAACGAAATGGGTTGTATCTGCTACTTTTCTCTTTCGTATAGCCCGTTCGTCCACACGAGGCCGTAACGGAACTATACGATCATTTCCTGATAACGATGAAGCCATATGCCCACCTCTGCTGCTCACTGCTGTAGCATGGTCAGTAGCTACTGCTACTGACCATGCTACAGATGTTAGTGCACAATCTACAGCACAATCTACAGCTCCTCTACCACAACCATCAGCAACAATGAACTACATGTTGCTAAATCCACCGCGGAGCATAAACAGAAGGGCAACCATGGCAACCATGCTCGGGGGGTCTTCTTTGTTGCTTTTGGTGTATTTTGTGGCGGAAGTACAGCGCCACTTACAGGCCCGGCATATGTACTACAGCGTCTCCAGCACTTTCGAGCGGTCTTGTGTGAACGGAAAACTTTTTTGATATCGAATTCGGTTCGTTTGCGTTTGCGTTCCCGTGTAAATGGGGTCTTAGTTTCACCTACCCCCCTTCACACACCTCCCCCTGAGCAGTAACGCGTTACTGTAATAATATTACTTTTGTCGGTAACGGAGTAGTGTAACGCGTTACTTTTATAATTCAGTAATCACACTACAGTTACTAACATTGCCCCGACATGCGTTACTTCGTTACTTTTATAAAATCAGTCATAATCACACTGACAGACAAGAGGGGTTTCCGCCGCAGGTTTATATGTACGTAATCTGCGCGACTTGCGCGTCCACATCTCCACGTGCAGTGCTGCATAAACATGGCTGAGTCAGCGATAACTTTCGAGGGGTGGAGGTATGCCCATTATTTTGAGTTCGTCCGAAGAATAGACAGGAATGTGACGGTGAGGTGCAAACTGTGTCCAGGCCAGAAGCTGTTATACACTGCTGCAAACACCACGTCAAACCTCAACAAACACCTGCAAAGAACACATGCTAAGGTGAAGCTAATAGCTAAGGACCCCCGAACCCAGAGTGAGGATGTTGTGAGTGCGCCGCCGCCGACTCCGAAGCAGCAAAAATGACCGGTAACCAAAGCAGAGATGGACAGGCTTGTAGCATCCTTCATAGTAGAGGTAATGTTGCCCATTTGCACAGTGGAATCACCATCGCATCGTTCAGAGATATACTGCGCAAAATACAGATAGCAGGAGACAGAGGACAGCCATGGTCAGAGCTATCTGGATCAGTCTTATGCGACAATGGAAACTGAACTAAAGAGAACATTTGAAACTTTAGCAGTCTGCGTGATCTGCCTGTAGGGAGGGGCGGGCCGGCCCTGCGAGTAAAGTAACGAGTAAAGTAACGAGTAAAGTAACGAGTTACTTTATGTAGAGAGTAACGAAGTAGTGTAATATATTACTTTTTTTTAGTAACGACCCCATCTCTGCCCCTGAGACCCTTCTACAATCTCTGTCACTTACTTACTTACTGTATGCAGTCGGAATCAGTCTATGATTTTGTAAATATCTGTTTCCCTTTGAAACAAACTTGAAGGATACTATTGATAAATGTATCATTTTGAAAGGATATTTCATGCATACATTTTTTTTTTTTTTTTTCGCTAGCATATGTACATAACTTGATTTAAACGACCATCATGGGCTCATGATATCAGTTTTTAGTGTTGAACCATAGTTTTGGCTTCAGAACTGTGGCTTATTTAAAACCCTTTAGTCACTAGCTACTAGGTCTAATCAGTGGCGACTGGTCATTAGGGGCAGGTGGGGCACAGCCCCACCTAGTGTCAGCAGAAAGTATTACAAATAATGATTACAAAAATGCAAAAAAATAAATAAAAAAATATATAAAATATATTTTAAGATCATGTTTAATCATCTGATTCGTCTGTACATTGCTGTTTTAGTCTGTGTTCTTCTAATTAGTGTGTCTACAGTCACAGTGTGTGCCTATTGAGCTGTTTAGAGCCATGTGGGACAAAACCTGATTATGCCCCTTCCTCTCGCTGTGAAGTCAACGGTGACTGTAAAAACTACACTGCGCATGCTCAGAGTATTTTGTAATGAAATGTGTGTGGCAAAAAAATAATGACCAGAGGGGCACGGAGCTACCATCCCCACCATACGTCATCTCAAATCATTCAGAGCTGATTGGCTGTAAGTACGTGTGCCGCGAAAAGTGTGCTGTGTGAAGAGGAGACGAGAGAGCTGCAGTGGCGCGTCCTAAAACCAGGAAGTAAGCACAAAAAAGCAATGAGGTTTCTCCAGAGGATTTTAGAAAATAGCTCGAAATAAGATCTGTGGGAAACGTACCTGTTAGATAAATGCACGTTTTGATTAGTCGGATAACATCCACATGTCTACCCTACTTATATAATTTTTTTATCATAAATCTATGGATTAGATTTATGATAGACTTTTGAAACTACAAGAACATAAGGAGGACTTTTACAAAAAAGTAATAGAAATGTTTGTCCAGAAGGATAGGCAAATGGACTTCATCTTCAAGTCAAGGTAAGACCGCCATTTTATTGAAAATGGGATCTTACTAAGAGAGAACAATTCAATATTTAAATGATAAAATGACATTTTTTGGGTATCCTTTTGTTGAACTGTCTGTTTAAAATTAATCGAAGCATCAGACAAAAAAAGCTTTTGAAAATAATATTATATTTTGGTTTAGGTCAAAATATAATATTTGTAAACCTGAAGAGTCAGTGCCAGTGCCTCACCAGCCATGAACCTCACTGCACGTCACTGCAGAAGCTTATATATAGACATCTAAGTTTTTTGTGCCCCACCACTTTTGTACATATAAAAACGCCACTGGGTCTAATATATATTCCTCAAACTGCATGGCTCAGATTGCAATGTAGAAAACTAAGTGGGTCTACAGCAGTTTCCCTGAGAACACTGTCACTGAATGACAACACCA